CCGAACGAAGAAGATACCCCAGAGCTTCATAAGCATTTCAACACTTTAATAGCGACGTCTCATGTCACGATCATCTGCTCGTATCAAAGACATTCATGATGATGATGATCAGGAAAATAGATTTCATGCAGGCTTACTACCAAATTCTAGTGACCGAAGAAGATACCCCAGAGCTTCATAAGCATTTCAACACTTTAATAGCGACGTCACATGTCACGATCATCTGCTCGTATCCTACAAAGACATTCTTGTTATCGCCTGAAAGCACAGAGCATCGGCCTTTACGACTCCAGTATGACCCTGCAGTGAGTAGAACTAATTTTGAAGATTGAAAGTTATTCACATTCTCAATGAACAAAACAGACGCATGTGAAATGCAAATGCCGAAGGTTTATGGCGTCCTTGACCACCCAGTGGCTGCAAGTCAAACTGCTTTAAATGGTTTAGGCGGCCTGATAAACCACCAGTTTAAATTTATTCTCAACTAGATTGGACTCCTTTAAGTACACACGGATTTTCGCCACCACAAAGTCGAGGATATCACTCTTGAAGATGAAACCTTTGGCGTCTTCAATTAGATCAGGTGTGTCTTGGATTTTTAAATCTTTCATCAACGGCCCATACCAACCTCACAGCGAAAACTAAGAATGGATGAGCTGGTGTTTTCTGGCAAGGTAATGATGCTCTTTAGAGGTCTCAGCTACCTTTCACCGCGACTGACGGACGCGAAAAACCAGGTGTAGCATCCTGAGCTTACGCTTACCGTGTTTGGCGGAGAATTCAAATAGCGTTCAGCTATAGCACTCTAGCTGCCATGCCACCCAAAGGAAGCATGAGGGCTGGGATACTGCCAGATTGCCCAAGCCTAGACAGGGGAAGTCGAGTGGCAGAGGTCGGATTCAAACCACGAACCTTCCGGTCACTAAATTCGCGCTCTAACCACTTGGGCCATCTCGCCCAAATGCATTATTATTTCGCCACATGCTCCAGACTGCGTTCGTCAGATTTCTAACCACTGACCAACCTGTATGAGACTCTGGGAGTGTCGCGGGGACTAACCCCAGTATAACTCAATGCGTCGTTGAGGTGCGCCGACCGTCACAACACGCTAAGGTCCAGTCTCTTCATGACGGACCACTACCCGACATTTCGCTTAATCCAGCAGCCAAGCAGGTATCCTGCTGGGACACGAAAAACAATACCCTCTTCATCAACCGATGATTTAGCACGTACAACAAATAGCCAACCCACAGCAGCTGCTGACGCTAGACACATTCTGCAACTGAAGTTCTTATTGCACAACCAAACAGCCACTGCGGATTCGCTGGCACAAGCCAACACGAGTTGTTCTGACATAACAGTTGTCAGAGACAAACACCACTCGGTTCTACCGCACACGCCATATCTCAGTAATTCATCCGTAACATTAGGTCGGTACCTAGCTGTAATGCTATCCGAAAGAAGCACAAAGACTGATATACTGGCAGGTTGCCAAAGTTTGGACAGGATCAGCCGAGGGCTTCCATAGACAAAGTTGTGCCCCAATAGGATACCCAATTTCTCCAAACCCATTCAGTTTTGTGACCAACGAGATGATGAGGCGAGCCTTGGAAAGTCTTCAAAATCCTGATGTTCACATAGCTGCTGATGAAAACATTGTCGACGTGGAATATAAAGATCACATCATTCCCGATTTCGAAGAGGAGAAAACGATGTAGACATTTTCGGTGAACTGATCAGTTATCCTTTCCTTTGGCACGCGCTTAGAACCCACAAAACATAAGGTCATGGACCCGGGGATACAGACAAAGAACAGTCATGTACAAGGAGCATTCAGCGCTGTGGAACGTTGTACAGGTTTCGGAATTCGCAGAAGTTCCGATCGTAGTGTGACAGATGAGGTCAATACACGCACCTCCAAGGCTCGGAAAACGTTGCTACTTTGAGATTTCTACGGTGACACAGCGACATCCTCCTTTACCTCAAGGGACATGTGTAGCAATTTACAGTACCGGCTGTTTTGTTGATTTTTTGTGATCGTATAAGTGGGAGATACGAGAGCTTGAAATGGCTCAGTGATTAAGACGCGATTTTACTGATCAGAAGCATCAGTGTTAAAAACTGATGTTGTACTGCCCACATGACGATGACGGTGAATTGGAGAATGTCTAACGCCAGCAGCTGCGGTGGGTTGGCTATATGTTGCGCATGCTGAATCATCGCTTGTTGGAAAGTGTGGTGTTTTTCGTGTCCAGTTCAGAATGGCACATGTAGACCTAACAGAAAGATAAGCAGGTGATGACGAAAAGTGTGAACCCCCTCAGAAGGACCCGCTTATTCACTATATAGTCAGAGATGTTGGATGATACATGTGTTATTCGATACCAGTTTGTATCCAAAATATGCAACGGAGTGTCCGGTGTAGGTACCTGGGATTGCTGTAAGAGTTAGGTACTAGGTCCCTTTTTCACCCATTGTTTAAATTGAGGCTTTCAAAAAATGTACCGTTGCACGGTATCAGAGAATCAGTTTTGATGTTATTTTATCGATGATGATGATGACGACGTCAACCGACCACTGCATTCAGCCAACTGCATTTGTGGAGGGTAAGATCTAAACCCATGATTTTGCATCTAACCCATTGATCACTGGAAGCGCCAACAGCCATTCAGTGCGATATTTCAAATTCGTAGTTTGGACCAATCATTTTGTTACCAGGGCGAGATGGCTCAGTGGTTAGGGCGCAAATTTAATGATCAGAAAGTCCGCGTTTCGAACCCGACTTCTGCTTCTCGACTTCCCCAGTCTGGGCTTGGGCAACCTGGAAATATCCCAGTCCTCGTGCTTCCTCCGAGTGGCATGGCAGCTAATCACCGAAAGGATGTTAGTATTTTACTTATTCATTCATTCATTATTTATTTATATCATTTAATGTTACATAGCCCTCTTGTAACGCAGATACACTTTCCTTTTCCAGGTTTTGATATTTCCGAGTCATTGAGATACTCATCTCAGTTAGCAGCGTGAACGTAGATCGTTATGACATGTGGATGCTTTCCCATAAATGGTCGGTCCCTCGCTTATCCTTCCTCTTACTGACACCAACGTATCCGAATGATGTCAACAAAGCGGGGGAGATTATCTCGTTACACCGTAGCATTTAGTGCCCATGCTTTTAGGGAGTCGAAGCTGTCAAACATAAAGTTTATAGTTTGTACCACATGCACACGGTTTGTCCACTTGTCCGGTCCAAATAAATAACTTCAATACTGCATTAGTACTGCATCTTGCGTAAGATGCAAGTGTTCTAAGTGTTTGATCAAAACAAGTTGACCAATGCCGACATAACCGTATGAACGACGGTGAGTCACCCGATTTATCAAAGATCAACGACGGATTTAACCAACTAACAAAGCTTAAAATCATCAATGAACCTGTAAGGATTCACAATCCATTAAAGCATCGCGTGCAGAAAACTGGGATACTGAACATAATACGCAAGAAACCGCTGAAGAACTCACTTGATCATCTTGGATCACAACATTTATACACGGATAGCGGGCACTAATCCACCGAAAAAACTTCGGGACACCCATCTTCGTTGACCAGCACCCCAAAAACCCAACCAACCCGCGACCTTGACGGTATCCGAAACGTGCGCGAATGAAGCTGGTTAGTTGTCAAGTTCACGGATTCACGGATTCACGGATTGATACACAGGATCGAGGCTATTGCCCAAGTTTCCCGGGTCGGTTTTGTTCTTGTCGGTCAGTGGCTGTCGTTCACCTGAAAGGCACAAGTGAAAAAAGGGTGTAGCACTGCTCTTTATGTTCTCAGCGCGGGGCAGTATGCTCGCCAGCGCGAGGATTCGCATAAATAAATGTCTAATAGTGCTTTAAACTGGGTT